CTATGCCCAGCCCGGCACTGTGGCGGTTAGAAGCCCCATCTACGAAAAGTTTCCACATTTCGCCCACATAGAGCTTCCAACATTCTGAGGGGTCCTAGGAGGCGTGCAGGTGGATGGGCGTGTGGTCGCTCGGCTGTGCGGTGTCAGGTTCAATGCTGATTTCACCGACAAAGAGCTTTCAACACTCTGAGGGGTCCTGGGAGGCTTGAAGGTTGATGGGATCACGGTTACTCGGTTGTTCGGTTTCTGGTTTGCTGCTGTTCGGTTCCATTTCATCCCCCTTCTGCGATGCAGCACCAGACCCAACAGGTTGATCGGCCATGCTCAAGTCCGGAGTCGCATCGTCGGGCTGCAGTACTATGCCGGCTGGAGGTTCTATGGCGGGGCGCGCAAGTTCCGCATCGCCAACATCGCCTTGCTGTGTTACGTCGGTTAAATCTGCACTCACCTCCTCGGCTGCCACCGCCAGATCCACTGGGCAGACGGGATGAATCCCGGGTGAGAATTCAGCAACAAAATCGCCCAATGTCTAGGCCTTTATGGCAGTGCGTGGCTGGAACTTGACGTCAAATTGTCCCAATTTGACCGCCCACTTGAGAATTCGACCGGAGAAGTCCGCCCGCTCGAACAAAGCCTTGAGGGGGAACTCGGTCAAAACGATAATTGTATGAGCATGGAAATAGTGCGCCAACTTCCTGGAGGCCATTATTAATGCCAACGCAAGTTTTTCCAGTGGCAAGTATCTCGACTCTACTGGTAGCAAGGTTTTACTTACGTAGAAGATAGGGAGGTGCTTGATTCCTTCCGACCGGACAAGCACCGCACTAACTGCATGCTGAGAAACGGCTAGATAAAGGTAAAGTTCCTCGCCGGGCTTCGGTGTTACCAATAGTGGTGCTGAAGACAGATACTCCTTGAGCTCGGCCAAAGCCCGATCACATTCTTCATCCCATGAAAACTTTGATTTCAAAGCTTGAAAGAAATGGTGGCAGCGATCTGATGATCAGCTTATGAATCGGTTAAGTGCAGCGGCCATTCCGGCCAGATGCTGCACGTCCTTAGTCGAGCTTGGCTTCTTTAATTCTTGTATGGCTCTGATCTGTGTGGGGTCTGCCTCGATGCCTCGGTTTCTGACTAGGAAACCCAAGAATTTTTCAGATCCCACGCCGAAGGCACATTTAGACGCATTCAAGCGTAGCTTGTGCTGTTTGAGGATGGCAAACATCTCGGCTAGGTCGGAAAAGTTGTTTGCTTGATGCTGGCTTTTAACCATCATGTCATTGATATAAGCCTCCATCGTCCAGCCTAGCAGAGGAGCAAACATTTTGGTCACCATCCTTTGGAAAGTTACCCCGGCGTTCTTCAAACCAAAAGGCATGACGCGGTAGCAGAAGAGTCCCCTAGGAGTAGTGAAAGAGGTGATCTCTCAGTCGGGGCCATGCATTGCAATCTGATGATAGCCGCAGTAGGCATCCAAAAAACTGAGCCTGTTATGCCCGGCCGTGAGATCGATAAGCTGGTCTATTCTGGGCAGAGAAAAGCTGTCTTTAGGGCAAGCTCGGTTGACGGTCTTGTAGTCGACGCAAACTCGTTACTTCCCATTCTTCTTAGGTACAACGACCGTGTTTGAAATCTACCAAGGGTAGTGCACTTCCTGAATAGCTCGTGCCTCAATCAAGTTCTTCACCTCTTCTACAACTACCTCGGCATGGTGTAGCGCCGATCTCCTCGTTCTCTGAATAACCGGCTTTGCCCCAGGAAAAACATTAAGGTGATGGCAAATAAAACTTGGATCGATGCCGGGCATGTCGTAAGGCGACCATGCGAAGACTTCGATATTTGCCATCAAAAACTCCACCATCTCGGTCCTTTCTTGGGCGGTAAGGCTTGATTCGAGCAAGAAGAACTTGTTCAGGCTCTCTGTGTCAATCCGCACTTCCACCAACTCTTCAACGGCTTTGTCCTCAGCCTTGGTGCCCACGTCGTCAAGGACTCCCCGGTCTTCCGGTCCTTCAATCATTTGGACGAAGCCTTTGGCAGCTCGGCTCCTGTTTACTGCCACGAAGCATTGCTTCGACGTGACCTGATCGCCCCAAACTTTCTCAATTGCCCCATAGCCGAGGGAAATCTCATCACCTGGTGGTAGGTCGACGCTACGACTTGCATAGCGTGAAGCCATCCCCTTCCAAGGATCAGGTTATAAGTAGACGACACTTGCAATACCTAGAACTCCACTTGCTTGACCACGGATCCCGCTTTGACTGGCAGAATAATTTTTCCCAAAGGCCACTCTGGTTGAGAGTTGAAACCAACCAGTGGTGAAGTTGCTGGAGCCAAGTCTGTGTCTCGGAGTTTAAGCTATTTGAACGCGTCGTAATACATGATCTCGACCGAGCTTCCTTGGTTGATCAAGATGTGCTTGACATCAAATTCCTTGACGCGGAGTGTGACCACTAAGGCATCGTTGTGCGGCGTCTGAATTCGCTCTAAGTCCCTAGTAGAGAAACTGATTATGTCTTTCTCTTCGGTCTTCCCCCTCTTGATCGCGGGCTCGACCGACAAAACTTCCCTCATGTGTTCTGCCTTCTTGATCATACCCCGGAGCTCGCATACACACATCGGCTTCACTATGCCGTGGATGACATTAACAACTCCTTGTGGGGGCGCCTCCAGGTCATCTGGTCCACGCGGGTCAACCGGGGCTTGATGTGCAGCCTTCACATCCCCATCAATGTAAAGGTCCAAGTGTCCGGCCGCGACTAGCTCCTCCAAGTGTTACTTCAGAGGCAAACAGTCCTCTGTCCGGTGTCCGCGCTCCTGGTGGAATGTGCAGCGGCATCGCGGATTGAAGCCTTTTTGCTCATCGCCTAACTTAGCAGGAAACCGGACGTAATCCTCGTCACGGATTTCACTAAGTATGCGATAGATTGGAATCTTAAAGACCGTGGTGAGGTCCGTCTGAGCTTTCAACCTTCTGTTTGCATCAGCTTCGTCGTCGCGGGGGTATTCATCTCGGTCATTCCGCCGACCCCTACCCCGGTTTTGACGATTTGAACCTCGGTCAGATTCCTCGGCGCGATCATTTGAACGGTTGGCCTGTAATGCCCTCAAAATAATAACATTCAATGACATATGAAATAACCATGACCTTCTATTCATCAGAGTTTCATTACAAATGAATTACATGTTAACAACAAAAGCAAAATGCCCTACGGGCTTACAGCTTTCCAAGTTAACACTTGGTTACAACAAAATGATGCTAACTCATCTACACATTAAGCCCTTGGCTTGAATACACATGTAATACATCAAAAGAAACTAAACAGCAAAAAATCAGCTCGCATCTAGCCTCCCAAGCTATGTCCTTGGAGGTGGCATGCTACTTGTACCTGAAAATGATGTTCCCATATAGGGTGAGCCACAGCCCAATAGAAATACACTAAACCAACCATGAACAATGACTAAAAGATTAGCAATTGATAGATGGCCAACACTGATACATCCACATAAATCACATTTTATGTCATCCGACTTATAAGTCCAAGTTACTTTTCATTTTCCCTTTTTCAACAGATAAGCATATTAGCTCTACACATCAACAAAGATTCATACCACTAAAAAAAAGACCACCAATAGCACTAATACATTGGGAATGTCAAAAAAAAAAAGCATAGGCGGCGGGTAGGGCCCACTGCCAGATCATTAGTGGTGCTATTAGAACACTATTTTTAGTGCTCTCAATCATTTTTCATAACCATATCATTGTGAGAACTTTTTGAGAGTCTCAAATATTTTTCTTTTTTATTTTTAGGCTGAAACATAAAGTTGCCAAACATGGACTCTTTTGCAATATTAGAAATAAATAAAGTAAGGAAAAATTATTAGGAAGTCCCATATGGGAATTAGTTACTTCAAATAGTCCCATGTATACTGATAGGTCTTGTTTATTTTGATAATTTTACCGTGAGATTCTATTTTAAATTTTGGTATGATTTGGTAAACATTTCTACTCAATAACCCTTTCTCATTGAGGGACGCCATATCACGTTTCTGTCATTCCAATATAACAACGTAATATATTAAAAATTTTCTTAATGTACTTTTAAAAACGTGACACTCCTCCAATATAACATTCTAAAAGACTCTTCCAACATAACACTCTAACGTAATACATTAAAAGACTTCTTAATATACTTTTTTCTAAATATAACACTCTAATAATGTAACATACTGAAAAACTCCTCCAACGTAACACATTACACTAAAAAACTCCTCAATATACTTTCTACAAACGTAACACACTGAAAAATTTCTCCAACGTACACTCCAACATAACATACTATATTAAAAAATTCTTTAATATACTTTTCATAAACATAACACTCCTCCAACAAAACACATTAAAAAACTCTCCCAATATAATACTCTTGTATTACGCACTTTTTATTATATATTTTTATAAATGTATCACTATAATATAATACTAAAAAATTTTAATTATATATATATATATTTCTTCTTATTATAAATACAGAACTAATCATAGATTTTATATAAAATTTAAGAGCATCTCCAACGGTAGTAGGCATTTTACCTATTTAAATATTACTATAAAGTATATATTTTATTTTGCCTATCGACTGTTTTATGTTTTTACTCCAACCATGCTCTTTATTTTAACTATTTATCCAAATACTATTAATTTTATAGAATGCCACGTCAATAACAAATATGGAGGGAAATGATCCTAATGATTGAATACATTTTGCCTAGCATTGAAGGCTAGCTACATGTAGCTAGTGAATATGAGTTGAGGCAAAATGCCTAATCATAGGCCTAGTGTATTGGAATTAAAAAAAGTGAATCACACTAGGCATTTTAACTAACAAGTATTATATGCCTAGTGCATTGGAGATGCTCGAGGAAATAAATCATTACACATCTAATAGATTAAAAAAATAAAAAAAAAGATCTATCTGAAATCACAAGTCCACTATATTGGTGAAATCTCCCATAAAGTAAACCATGTTGTGTGGGTTGGCTTGCCAATGAAGGATGAGTTCCTAATATACACAGCGAAAACGAATAACCACAGGTAAGGTAAGGCGCAGAAAAGCAGCAGTAGAAGCAGTGCACAATAAGAATGTTTATACGGGGAGAAAAGGAGGGAATATGAAAGAGGGAGATGCAAAGCCACAACTTGGGGAGCTATAACTATAATCATGCAAGGACTCCACCACCAACAACAGCAGCTAGTCGCTTTGCTCACCGTCGCTCGAGGCGGCGGCGGCGGCGATTCTACATCGTCTTCCTCCACCGCCTCCGCCTCCGCCGAAGGAGACGAGTCCTCTCGCCTCGCCGCCATCAACTCTCTCCACCGCGCCATTCTTTACCCTCCGAACTCACTTCTCGTCACTCACTCCGCTTCTTTCCTCTCCCAGGGCTTCTCTCAACTTCTCTCCGACAAGTACGTAATCCAACCCTCCCTTGATTTCAACGCAAATTTGCAATTTTGACTTTATTAAATGGATTTTGATTATATTTTTTTTTGCAAAATACACCATTAATTTCCTCTTGCTAGTTGAATTCCAAAGGTAATTTAGGGGCTAAGAAATTGATACATATTCGAAAAGCTTACGCAATTGGATTCCGAACTGTCCAGTCTTATGTAGCGGATCATTTGATCTCAAAAAGATTTCTTAGCAAGTGCTTGCTTGTTAATTTGACTAAAAATGCTGTTGATTTCAACCCAAAATCGCTGCACTGAGTTTCGAATTTGACTTTACTCACAGTTTTTTGATCAAATTTTTGCAAAATATGTCATTGTTTTTTCACCTTTGAATTGCTCTTGTTGCACCAGTTACAATAGTTGAATTCTTCATGTTGTGTTTGGATCATGGATTTGAATAGAGATTTCGGAAGTGAGAGGGAAATGTGAATAAAATATAAGCTAATTTTTCCATTTTCCTTTCCCTTTCTCTTTCCAATTCTATATCTAAATTCATGATCCAAACACAATGTTACATGAACTAATTTCAATTAGAAAAAATTGCACCATTGGATTCTGTATTGTCCAAGGGTCATTTGATCTAAAAAACAACTTCTTAATAAGTTTTTGCTTGTTAATTGGACTAGAAAGGATGGGTTTACCGCTGCACTATGTTTGGACTTTGACTTCTTTCACAGGATTTTGATCATATTTTTTAAGATATGCCAGTACTTTACACCTTTAAATTTCTCTTGACATACCACTTACAATAGTTGAATTCAAAAGGTAATTTAGGGGAACAAATTGATACATGAAGTCATATCAATTAGAAAACTTACACGTCTGGATTTTGTATTATCCAATCTTGGGTAGCGGGTCAATTGAGGAATGCTTTTCGTCTTATTAACGCTTTCGTTCTTTTCTTTTTCTTTTGGTGAAACCATGGCTTAGATCATACTCAGTGTGTCAGGCAGCAGCTACAGCATATGGGGCTTTGTGTTCTGTGCTGTGTTCAATACTTATATCATCAAATGGAAGGCAAAACAATGTGATATTGGGCAGTTTGGTTGACCGGTTCATTAGTTGGGCACTGCCGTTGCTTACAAATGTCGGTACTGGAGATGGGAAAACAGAATTGGCACTGGAAGCTTTCCGTGAGTTTCTTAATGTAGGAGATGTTGGTGCAATTGAAAGATATGCGTTGCCAATTCTTAAAGCCTGTCAAGAACTTCTTGAGGATGAGAGAACCTCCTTGAGTTTACTGCACCAGCTTTTGGGTGTTTTAACTCTGATATCCTTGAAATTTTTTAGATGCTTTCAACCCCATTTTGTTGACATTGTCGATCTGCTTCTTGGGTGGGCAATGGTACCTGACCTTGCTGAGTCTGATAGACGTGTTATTATGGATAGCTTCTTGCAGTTTCAGAAACATTGGGTGAATAGTCTGCAGTTCTCTTTGGGATTGTTGTCAAAGTTCTTGGGTGACATGGATGTTTTGCTCCAGGATGGAAGTCTTGGCACCCCACAACAATTTCAGAGATTGCTTGCTTTGCTGTCGTGTTTTTGTACAGTTTTGCAGTCGACAGCTTCTGGTTTGCTAGAGATGCATTTACTTGAACAAATAATTGAACCTCTTAGCAAAATGATTCCTTTGTTGTTGGGATGCTTATCCATGGTTGGGAGGAAATTTGGGTGGACAAGATGGATTGTGGATTCCTGGAGGTGCCTGACTCTTTTGGCAGAAATTCTAAGCGAGAGGTTTTCAACCTTTTACCCCCTTGCAGTTGATGTCTTGTTCCAAAGCTTAGCAATGGATAATCTCAATCAACACGCAGGGGCTGGGAGGATTACATCTTTTCAGGTTCATGGGGTTCTTAAAACTAACCTTCAATTATTATCTCTGCAAAAACTTGGCCTGCTCCCATCATCTGTACATAAGATATTGCAATTTGATTTGCCTATATCTCAACTGCGTTTGCATCCAAACCACCTAGTCACAGGAAGTTCTGCTGCTACTTATATTTTCTTACTCCAACATGGGAAGAACGAAGTTGTTGAACAAGCAGTGACTTCCTTGGTTGAAGAACTGGAGTTGTTGAAGGGCATGCTCGAACAAACCTCATGCAACAGAGACAAGGTCAATAGTGCGATTGGTCTTAAAATTTATTCTAAGCCTGAGTTGTTTGTGCTGATTAAATTTGATTTGAAAGTTCTATTAAGCTGTGCATCTGTGGGTGGGGGTAACAGTTTGATTGCCCGGGCAGAACTTGATGCTTTGTGCCTTAAGAGGTCAGAAAGACTGGCCTCCTTTATTGTTGAGAAATTGAATCCTTTTGACTTACCTATTCAGGCTTTTGTGGAGTTGCAAGCTAATGTTCTCAAGACATTGGACCAGCTAACCATGTTTGAATTTTTAAATAAGTGGTCCACGAGGAAGCAAATTAGCTGGAAAGGTTCTTTGAATACGGCAAGTGAAAAACTCCCAAAGGATGACACTATGAATGATGGATTTCCAGTTTTGATTTTTGAACATTTGCAGAAGTACAGTTTTCTCCTTGTCAAAGCTCTTCACATTTCATCCCCTTTGGCGGTCAAAGTAGAAGCCTTACAATGGATCTATAAATTCTGCGAGGGTGTCATTGATATATATGAGAGCATGAATGCAGCAAATGATCCTTGTGATGAATTTGGATTTGTTGGTGTTGTTGGGAATTTGGTTTTCTCAGTATTGGATGCTGCATCTGATAGAGACCCAAAGGTGAGATCTCATGTTGCATCAGTTTTAGAGCAGCTTCTGCAGGCAAAACTTATAAATCCTACGCACTTCTACGCCATTAGTGAAGTCGTCCTCGAAAAACTTGGTGATCCAGATGGTGATATAAAAAATGCATTTGTAAGGATGCTTTCCCATGTGTTGCCCATTACTATTTACACATGTGGTCTATATGACTGTGGAACAGCTAACACTTACAGGCCTAGTATTCTTAGGTTAGGTAATAGTTGTAACTTACACTGGAGTCAAGTATTTGCTCTCAAGCAACTCCCTCAGCAACTTCATTCACAACAGCTTGTTTCCATCTTGAGTTTCATTTCACAAAGATGGAAAGTGCCTCTTTCTTCTTGGATCCAACGGCTTATTCATACCTGCCGGAGTTCAAAGGGCTTGTCTTTGACTCAACTAGAGGAAACAGGAAACAGCATTGTGAATGATGTAGGGTTGGACATTAAAGTAGGGGAAGATATCCTTGAAAGAATTTGTTCAGTAAATATCCTTGCTGGTGCATGGTGGGCTATACATGAAGCGGCAAGATACTGTATTACTACACGCCTTCGTACCAACCTTGGTGGGCCCACCCAAACTTTTGCAGCATTGGAGCGCATGCTTTTGGACATTGCACATGTACTACAGCTTGATACTGAACAAAGTGATGGAAACTTAAATATTATAGGTTCTTCTTATGCTCACTTGTTACCAATGAGGTTATTATTGGATTTTGTTGAGGCCCTGAAGAAAAATGTATATAATGCATACGAAGGATCTGCTGTTTTACCATGTACTTCACGGCAGAGCTCCTTGTTCTTTCGTGCCAATAGAAAAGTCTGTGAGGAGTGGTTTTCTCGCATATGTGAGCCAATGATGAATGCTGGATTGGCACTGCAATGTCATCATGCTACAATCCATTACTGTACTTTGCGTTTGCAGGAGCTTAGAAATCTTGTGGTTTCAGCTTTGAATGACAAGCCTAGGGCTCAGGTGGCTGACAATCTCCATAATATCAAGGGCAGATTTTCTGAAGATATCTTGAGGGTTCTACGACACATGGCATTGGCTTTGTGTAAAAGTCATGAATCGGAGGCTTTGATTGGCCTACAAAAATGGGTTACTCTGACATTTTCTTCCTTGCTTACAGATGAGAACCATAGTTTGAGTAATGGTGAGAACCTGGGACCTTTTTCGTGGATCACTGGACTTGTTTATCAGGCAGAAGGCCAGTATGAAAAGTCTGCTGCTCACTTTACTCATTTGTTACAACTGGAGGAGTCTCTCAGTTCTATGGGTTCTGATGGTGTGCAGTTTGCTATTGCTCGCATCATTGAGAGTTATGCTGCAGTTTCTGATTGGAAGTCGTTAGAGTCTTGGCTATTGGAGCTGCAAACACTTCGTGCTAAGCATGCTGGGAAGAGTTACTCTGGTGCACTAACTACAACTGGAAATGAAATAAATGCAATTCATGCTTTGGCCCGCTTTGATGAGGGTGATTTTCAGGCAGCATGGTCATGCCTGGATTTGACACCTAAAAGTAGCAGTGAACTCACACTTGATCCTAAATTGGCCTTGCAAAGGAGTGAGCAGATGCTTTTGCAGGCAATGCTTCTTCAAATAGAGGGGAAGGTAGAGAAGGTATCACATGAAATACATAAGTCAAAGTCAATGCTGGAGGAAGCATTATCTGTTTTGCCACTTGATGGGTTGGCGGAGGCTGCAGCATATGCCACCCAGTTGCACTGCATCTCTGCATTTGAAGAAAGTTGCAAGCTTACAGGCAACCAAGACAAACAACTTCAGTCATTATTGAGTTCATATACCCAAGTACTGCATTCTCCAATCAACCCAGTTCATCAAGATTGTAACATGTGGTTGAAAGTTCACCGGCTTTATCGAACAATCCTTCCAACTTCACTGGTGACTCTAAAGCTCTCTAAGAATTTATTAAGTTTAGCCCGTAAGCAAAAAAACCTAGTGTTGGCCAACCGTCTTAATAATTATGTCAGGGATCATGCACTATCTTGCTCTGAAGGGAGGTACCGTGATTTCCTAATGACAAATTTGCACTATGAGGGCATCCTTTTGATGCATGCTGAAAACAGGCTTGAAGATGCTTTCACAAATCTTTGGTCATTTTTGCGTCCTTGTATGGTTTCTTCATCTGTAGTTTCTGATGCTGATGTCAATGTTTTGACTGCGAAGGCATGCCTGAAACTTTCAGATTGGTTGAGAAGGGATTATTCTGATATGCATTTGGAGAATGTTGTCCTCAAGATGCTGGCGGATTTCAGCATAACTGATATTTCTTCTCTTGGCAAAAGGGCAAGTGGTTTCAGTGATGATAACTTAAGCTCTAAACTAAATGTGGGTGTTATTGTTGAGGAACTTGTGGGTACAGCTACAAAGTTGTCCTCTCGTCTCTGCCCCTCCTTGGGCAAGTCATGGATTTCTTATGGCTCGTGGTGTTATAATCAAGCCAAAGCTTCTCTCTCTGTACCCAATGAGACTGTCCTTTATTCGTGCTCTTTTTCTTCCATTCTCGCTCCAGAAGTTCTACCTGATAGATTTAAATTAACTGAAGAAGAGCTATTAAAAGTTAAACATATTGTTTTGCAGCTTCTTCAGAAAAGGAGTAATTCAGAAGATTTGAATGAGGAAGGGGAAGAGGATAACTTTCAGCTTGATTCTTCTGAAAATTTGGGCAACGACAACTATGCAAAGGTTTTGGTGCAGCAAGCAGTGAATATAATTGAATCTGCAGCTGGAGTGCTGGGTGCAGAAAGTTCTAGTGGCGACTGCCTTTCTGCAATGCTGACTTCTCAGTTACAGAAATGCTTTCTATGTGCAAATGTTGGCATTGAAGAATCTGCAGTATTGTCCTCAGTTGATGATCTAGTTGATGTTTGGGGGTCTTTGAGGAGGAGAAGGGTTTCTCTATTCGGGCATGCAGCTCAAGCTTTCGTGCATTACCTTTCATATTCGTCTTCCAAACATTCTGATGGGCAGTTAGCTGCCTCTTTTTGCAAAGCTTTAAATCAAAAGACTGTCAGTTACACCCTGAGGGCTACATTATATGTCTTAAACATTCTTCTCAACTACGGAGTGGAGTTGAAAGAGACCCTTGAACCTGCTCTTTCTACAGCTCCGTTGTTGCCATGGCAGGTGAGATACTGATTATTAAATTTTTATGTTAAGCTAAAATAATTTGAGGACATTCTGAATAGTTTGTACTTTTGAAGGAAATTACACCCCAACTCTTTGCTCGGTTAAGTTCTCATCCTGAACAAGTGGTTCGAAAACTGTTGGAGGGCTTACTAGTGATGCTTGCGAAGCTATCTCCTTGGTCTATTGTGTACCCAACCCTTGTTGATGTAAATGCTTGTGAACAGGAACCTTCAGAGGAGCTTCAGCATATACAAGCTTGTTTGGTAATGCAACCTTTTCCTATTAAAGTGTTTGATTCTGGTCTTAGATCTTCAATTTGTTTTGACATTCACAATAGAAAATTTCAGCCCGTTTTATTTAGGACAAGTAATTATATACAAAAAAAGAGTGTAAAAAATCAATGTATAAAGAAAAATACAGAGAGAATAAATGTATCTGATGATCTTATTATTGATTGATGAGTTACAAGATTGATTATATAGATGTAGGTTAGGTGGTGGTAGGTGAGGAGTAGGTGAGTGTAGTAGGTGAGTGTGTGGTAGGTGATGGTAAGTGTGTGGTAGGTGATGGTAAATTCTAACAAAGAGTAATCAGAATTTTCATATAGAATGATGTGGCTTAATGAGAACCATTCTCTTTAAAAACAAAACAACCAGAATGATGAATTTATTTATGATAATGGAATTGCCACGTCATTCTTGTGGAGTTTTATGTATGAATTTTATTTTATGTATGAATAGAGGTTTCCTTAGGACAATGGGCATAAACAATTAAACATTTTGGCTTTATTCACACTATTTGGTATTTTACATCGGTGTTGTCAATTATGGGCTGCAAATATTATTTTAATACAGAGAATATTGCAACTGAAGTAAGGAGGAAGCTGGTAATAGAGATGACATAAGAGTTTTTTTTTGGTTATTTTATTCAGCTAACGGCCTTATTTTCCATTAAACTACAGTCTGCAGTGTGATTGTCATCTAGATAGGAATCCCAGTTCTTTCTTCTTCTTCTTTTTTTGCCCCCCCCCCCCCCCCCCTCCCCCCCCCCCAGAAAAAAAAAAAAACAAAAAACCAACCTCAATTTACAAGATGTCAGAATTCCAACAAGCCCCCCTTCCCTTCTTCGTCTTCTTCTTCTTCTCTTTCCGCCTCTAAATCAGCCATAGTCCATCGTTTCTCTAAATGGTACCTCAATCACTCAATCTTGGGATTGCTGGCTAGTAATTAGTGATTGTTAATTGATCCTAAATTTGAAGCTGTTGTGTGTTTTTGAAATGTAAAATTCTGCCATAAAAGTTACCATGGATCACCCACTCCTGCTCAGAAAGTCTTCATGCCACAAGATTTATGATTTAGATGACTGCTCCGTTTTTTTTTTTTTTTGATCAGCACTTGAGAATTTTACACTGCATCACAAACATGTGCACAATAATATGTATATTGTTTTGATAAGTAAGGAGACTTGAACTTGAGTCTCTTTATTGTAGGAATGTGATCTAAGCCGTTGGGGTGCTCCCTAGGGGACACAGACATTTGCATTATATAGATATGCCTATTTTCAAGATCTTGACAGCTGTCTCTGAATATAAGTCTGTGCTGGAAATTTGTGTTAATGTATATAATATGATAGTGGTGTTGGTGGTAGATAGTGGCATGTATAGAATATGATAGTGGTGTTGGTGGTAGATAATGGCATGTATAGAATATGATAGTGGTGTTGGTGGTAGATAATGGCATGTATAGAATATGATAGTGGTGTTGGTGGTAGATAATGGCATGTATAGAATATGATAGTGGTGTTGGTGGTAGATAATGGCATGTATAGAATATGATAGTGGTGTTGGTGGTAGATAATGGCATGTATAGAATATGATAGTGGTGTTGGTGGTAGATAATGGCATGTATAGAATATGATAGTGGTGTTGGTGGTAGATAATGGCATGTATAGAATATGATAGTGGTGTTGGTGGTAGATAATGGCATGTATAGAATATGATAGTGGTGTTGGTGGTAGATAATGGCATGTATAGAATATGATAGTGGTGTTGGTGGTAGATAATGGCATGTATAGAATATGATAGTGGTGTTGGTGGTAGATAATGGCATGTATAGAATATGATAGTGGTGTTGGTGGTAGATAATGGCATGTATAGAATATGATAGTGGTGTTGGTGGTAGATAATGGCATGTATAGAATATGATAGTGGTGTTGGTGGTAGATAATGGCATGTATAGAATATGATAGTGGTGTTGGTGGTAGATAATGGCATGTATAGAATATGATAGTGGTGTTGGTGGTAGATAATGGCATGTATAGAATATGATAGTGGTGTTGGTGGTAGATAATGGCATGTATAGAATATGATAGTGGTGTTGGTGGTAGATAATGGCATGTATAGAATATGATAGTGGTGTTGGTGGTAGATAATGGCATGTATAGAATATGATAGTGGTGTTGGTGGTAGATAATGGCATGTATAGAATATGATAGTGGTGTTGGTGGTAGATAATGGCATGTATAGAATATGATAGTGGTGTTGGTGGTAGATAATGGCATGTATAGAATATGATAGTGGTGTTGGTGGTAGATAATGGCATGTATAGAATATGATAGTGGTGTTGGTGGTAGATAATGGCATGTATAGAATATGATAGTGGTGTTGGTGGTAGATAATGGCATGTATAGAATATGATAGTGGTGTTGGTGGTAGATAATGGCATGTATAGAATATGATAGTGGTGTTGGTGGTAGATAATGGCATGTATAGAATATGATAGTGGTGTTGGTGGTAGATAATGGCATGTATAGAATATGATAGTGGTGTTGGTGGTAGATAATGGCATGTATAGAATATGATAGTGGTGTTGGTGGTAGATAATGGCATGTATAGAATATGATAGTGGTGTTGGTGGTAGATAATGGCATGTATAGAATATGATAGTGGTGTTGGTGGTAGATAATGGCATGTATAGAATATGATAGTGGTGTTGGTGGTAGATAATGGCATGTATAGAATATGATAGTGGTGTTGGTGGTAGATAATGGCATGTATAGAATATGATAGTGGTGTTGGTGGTAGATAATGGCATGTATAGAATATGATAGTGGTGTTGGTGGTAGATAATGGCATGTATAGAATATGATAGTGGTGTTGGTGGTAGATAATGGCATGTATAGAATATGATAGTGGTGTTGGTGGTAGATAATGGCATGTATAGAATATGATAGTGGTGTTGGTGGTAGATAATGGCATGTATAGAATATGATAGTGGTGTTGGTGGTAGATAATGGCATGTATAGAATATGATAGTGGTGTTGGTGGTAGATAATGGCATGTATAGAATATGATAGTGGTGTTGGTGGTAGATAATGGCATGTATAGAATATGATAGTGGTGTTGGTGGTAGATAATGGCATGTATAGAATATGATAGTGGTGTTGGTGGTAGATAATGGCATGTATAGAATATGATAGTGGTGTTGGTGGTAGATAATGGCATGTATAGAATATGATAGTGGTGTTGGTGGTAGATAATGGCATGTATAGAATATGATAGTGGTGTTGGTGGTAGATAATGGCATGTATAGAATATGATAGTGGTGTTGGTGGTAGATAATGGCATGTATAGAATATGATAGTGGTGTTGGTGGTAGATAATGGCATGTATAGAATATGATAGTGGTGTTGGTGGTAGATAATGGCATGTATAGAATATGATAGTGGTGTTGGTGGTAGATAATGGCATGTATAGAATATGATAGTGGTGTTGGTGGTAGATAATGGCATGTATAGAATATGATAGTGGTGTTGGTGGTAGATAATGGCATGTATAGAATATGATAGTGGTGTTGGTGGTAGATAATGGCATGTATAGAATATGATAGTGGTGTTGGTGGTAGATAATGGCATGTATAGAATATGATAGTGGTGTTGGTGGTAGATAATGGCATGTATAGAATATGATAGTGGTGTTGGTGGTAGATAATGGCATGTATAGAATATGATAGTGGTGTTGGTGGTAGATAATGGCATGTATAGAATATGATAGTGGTGTTGGTGGTAGATAATGGCATGTATAGAATATGATAGTGGTGTTGGTGGTAGATAATGGCATGTATAGAATATGATAGTGGTGTTGGTGGTAGATAATGGCATGTATAGAATATGATAGTGGTGTTGGTGGTAGATAATGGCATGTATAGAATATGATAGTGGTGTTGGTGGTAGATAATGGCATGTATAGAATATGATAGTGGTGTTGGTGGTAGATAATGGCATGTATAGAATATGATAGTGGTGTTGGTGGTAGATAATGGCATGTATAGAATATGATAGTGGTGTTGGTGGTAGATAATGGCATGTATAGAATATGATAGTGGTGTTGGTGGTAGATAATGGCATGTATAGAATATGATAGTGGTGTTGGTGGTAGATAATGGCATGTATAGAATATGATAGTGGTGTTGGTGGTAGATAATGGCATGTATAGAATATGATAGTGGTGTTGGTGGTAGATAATGGCATGTATAGAATATGATAGTGGTGTTGGTGGTAGATAATGGCATGTATAGAATATGATAGTGGTGTTGGTGGTAGATAATGGCATGTATAGAATATGATAGTGGTGTTGGTGGTAGATAATGGCATGTATAGAATATGATAGTGGTGTTGGTGGTAGATAATGGCATGTATAGAATATGATAGTGGTGTTGGTGGTAGATAATGGCATGTATAGAATATGATAGTGGTGTTGGTGGTAGATAATGGCATGTATAGAATATGATAGTGGTGTTGGTGGTAGATAATGGCATGTATAGAATATGATAGTGGTGTTGGTGGTAGATAATGGCATGTATAGAATATGATAGTGGTGTTGGTGGTAGATAATGGCATGTATAGAATATGATAGTGGTGTTGGTGGTAGATAATGGCATGTATAGAATATGATAGTGGTGTTGGTGGTAGATAATGGCATGTATAGAATATGATAGTGGTGTTGGTGGTAGATAATGGCATGTATAGAATATGATAGTGGTGTTGGTGGTAGATAATGGCATGTATAGAATATGATAGTGGTGTTGGTGGTAGATAATGGCATGTATAGAATATGATAGTGGTGTTGGTGGTAGATAATGGCATGTATAGAATATGATAGTGGTGTTGGTGGTAGATAATGGCATGTATAGAATATGATAGTGGTGTTGGTGGTAGATAATGGCATGTATAGAATATGATAGTGGTGTTGGTGGTAGATAATGGCATGTATAGAATATGATAGTGGTGTTGGTGGTAGATAATGGCATGTATAGAATATGATAGTGGTGTTGGTGGTAGATAATGGCATGTATAGAATATGATAGTGGTGTTGGTGGTAGATAATGGCATGTATAGAATATGATAGTGGTGTTGGTGGTAGATAATGGCATGTATAGAATATGATAGTGGTGTTGGTGGTAGATAATGGCATGTATAGAATATGATAGTGGTGTTGGTGGTAGATAATGGCATGTATAGAATATGATAGTGGTGTTGGTGGTAGATAATGGCATGTATAGAATATGATAGTGGTGTTGGTGGTAGATAATGGCATGTATAGAATATGATAGTGGTGTTGGTGGTAGATAATGGCATGTATAGAATATGATAGTGGTGTTGGTGGTAGATAATGGCATGTATAGAATATGATAGTGGTGTTGGTGGTAGATAATGGCATGTATAGAATATGATAGTGGTGTTGGTGGTAGATAATGGCATGTATAGAATATGATAGTGGTGTTGGTGGTAGATAATGGCATGTATAGAATATGATAGTGGTGTTGGTGGTAGATAATGGCATGTATAGAATATGATAGTGGTGTTGGTGGTAGATAATGGCATGTATAGAATATGATAGTGGTGTTGGTGGTAGATAATGGCATGTATAGAATATGATAGTGGTGTTGGTGGTAGATAATGGCATGTATAGAATATGATAGTGGTGTTGGTGGTAGATAATGGCATGTATAGAATATGATAGTGGTGTTGGTGGTAGATAATGGCATGTATAGAATATGATAGTGGTGTTGGTGGTAGATAATGGCATGTATAGAATATGATAGTGGTGTTGGTGGTAGATAATGGCATGTATAGAATATGATAGTGGTGTTGGTGGTAGATAATGGCATGTATAGAATATGATAGTGGTGTTGGTGGTAGATAATGGCATGTATAGAATATGATAGTGGTGTTGGTGGTAGATAATGGCATGTATAGAATATGATAGTGGTGTTGGTGGTAGATAATGGCATGTATAGAATATGATAGTGGTGTTGGTGGTAGATAATGGCATGTATAGAATATGATAGTGGTGTTGGTGGTAGATAATGGCATGTATAGAATATGATAGTGGTGTTGGTGGTAGATAATGGCATGTATAGAATATGATAGTGGTGTTGGTGGTAGATAATGGCATGTATAGAATATGATAGTGGTGTTGGTGGTAGATAATGGCATGTATAGAATATGATAGTGGTGTTGGTGGTAGATAATGGCATGTATAGAATATGATAGTGGTGTTGGTGGTAGATAATGGCATGTATAGAATATGATAGTGGTGTTGGTGGTAGATAATGGCATGTATAGAATATGATAGTGGTGTTGGTGGTAGATAATGGCATGTATAGAATATGATAGTGGTGTTGGTGGTAGATAATGGCATGTATAGAATATGATAGTGGTGTTGGTGGTAGATAATGGCATGTATAGAATATGATAGTGGTGTTGGTGGTAGATAATGGCATGTATAGAATATGATAGTGGTGTTGGTGGTAGATAATGGCATGTATAGAATATGATAGTGGTGTTGGTGGTAGATAATGGCATGTATAGAATATGATAGTGGTGTTGGTGGTAGATAATGGCATGTATAGAATATGATAGTGGTGTTGGTGGTAGATAATGGCATGTATAGAATATGATAGTGGTGTTGGTGGTAGATAATGGCATGTATAGAATATGATAGTGGTGTTGGTGGTAGATAATGGCATGTATAGAATATGATAGTGGTGTTGGTGGTAGATAATGGCATGTATAGAATATGATAGTGGTGTTGGTGGTAGATAATGGCATGTATAGAATATGATAGTGGTGTTGGTGGTAGATAATGGCATGTATAGAATATGATAGTGGTGTTGGTGGTAGATAATGGCATGTATAGAATATGATAGTGGTGTTGGTGGTAGATAATGGCATGTATAGAATATGATAGTGGTGTTGAAATTTGTGTTAATGTATATAATAAGATGGTGGCATGTATATAATATGATAGTGGTGTTGGTGGTAGATAGTGGCATGTATATAATATGATAGTGGTGTTGGTGAAGGATAGTGGTATGTATAGAATATGATAGTGGTGATAGTGGTAGATAGTGGTAATATATAATATGTAAGTGGCATATAATGGGTTATGATGATGTTTGTAATATCTCCTATATAAGGAGTGTCATTTGGTCTTGTAAGATAAGAAGTTTTGAATATAACAGAAATATATTCCTTCTTCCTCATATTTTCGGAGTTCTTCTTCTTCATATTTTCTAAGTGTTTTGATAAGTAAGGAGACTTGAACTTGAGTCTCTTTATTGTAGGAATGTGATCTAAGCCGTTGGGGTGCTCCCTAGGGGACACAGACATTTGCATTATATAGATATACCTATTTTCAAGATCTTGACAGCTGTCTCTGAATATAAGTCTGGATGTGTGAAGTTTATAATATGTAAGTGGCATATAATGGGTTATGATGATGTTTGTAATATCTCCTATATAAGGAGTGTCATTTGGTCTTGTAAGATAAGAAGTTTTGAATATAACAGAAATATATTCCTTCTTCCTCATATTTTCGGAGTTCTTCTTCCTCATATTTTCTAAGTGTCTGGATGTGTGAAGTTTAAGATTGTCACATACTGACATAAAAAATCTGACAGTAACTAAGTAAGCAGTTAATGATGACATAAAAGGCCGGATGAAAATAAATTTTTTGATAAGTAAGAATGAAATTGTATTAAAAGGATGCCAAGGGGGGGGTCACCACTGTATGATAGGGGAGAAAATGAAAAAGTACAAATAGGCAAATATAAGTCCTCCTCAAATGGCAAGGGTTGTCATTCTTTTATGTCATCCCAAAATAGATACAAAGAAAACACTAAAATTCCTCCCCAAAGTAAAACTTTCTTTTGGTATCTAACAACAAAATAGAAGACTTGCAAAATTCCTCTAATGGAAAGTGAAAAGATTGAAGTCAACTCCAATCTATGCATAGCCAACTGTATTCTTCAAAGGTCCTTGTATTCCTCTCTCTCTAAAGGCTCCACCATAAACACAAAGGAGCCACACTCTGAGCCTTCTATGCCCTCTTCACTTGGCAACCATGCTCCCAACATTTGGGAAGTTGAAGCACCAAAGCCAGTGGCATCACCCAACTAACACCAGACATGGATAACAGTAAGCTCCACGTAGCTATGTCATGATGTATCAAAAGATGATCAGCCTACTTCTCCTGCTTGCACATACAACATCGACTAGGCAAAAAGAAACCTCTGTTGGCAACTTGGCAAGGTTATCCGTAGTCAAAATCATATCCAAAGCCTCCAAACAAAGAAGGCTACTTTGGTTGGGACTCCCTGATTCCCAATCAGACTTCTACAATGGAATTATTTGACCGTGAACTTTTTTGTTTCTATTAACAACAAAAATTTATTAAAAAGAGAGGTAATGTACAAAGAAGATCGAGGAGGACAAGTAGTCCACCAAAGAGTACTTATCTTTGAATGTTCTCGCATTTCTCTCCAACCAAATGACCCAAAGCATGGCTCAAATGCTACAATCTCAAAGAATGCGAGCCTTCTGACTAGAACCAAAACCTTTCTAATCAATAGATAGTAGCTGGGCACATGAAGCTATAATTGGTCCATGAACTCCTTCACTGACAAAAGAAGGTTCTCAAACCACACTTGATTTTGAGATCCACAAATTATCCTAAACCATAGCTTCTTTGTTAGCTGTAATGTAGTAAATCTTTGGAAAGGATTTGAATGAAGGGGTTTGGCCATACCACCCATCAAAATTTCACCCTACGATTATGCCTAATAATGCAAAATAAACATGCCCAAATGTGTGAAACCATCCACTCCTAGTTGCTTTCCCGAGGCCTACCGCATAAGAACGGCTAGCCTCTCTAGATGTCCAGCCCCCCACTTCACAACTGTACTTGCACTCCACACTCCTTGAAAAACTTCACAATTGTAAACCCCAAGGGGTTGGCCTGGTGCCAAGGCCTTGGGTCTTGGGGGTATGCTCCCTTCAAAGTTTAGGGATCAAAACCTCTTATGTGCTAACAATTTCTTAGGGCCATTGGATCAGGGGAAAACCCTGGAATTAACCGTGGTGCACTTGCAGGAAACTCCTTACTAAGGGCTTGTGCACCCCTGGGATTAGTTGGGACACTCCGGTGCCAATAAAAAAAAAAAAAAAGGAAAAAAACTTCGCAATTGTACTTGCACTCCACACCCTCCTTGAAAAACTTCCCACCTCCATAGCATATCCCTAAAGCCATTTCCCAAGGATTGTTTGCTGATAGAGGAACAACTGAGAAAACAACCCCTCTTGATTCTCTTCCAACATCATAATATTCTTTTAACATCCCATTTAACTATTTTGCACTTGGTTATATATTGCTTTAAGATATGGATATTTTATGGATATGTGGTGCTTTTGACTATCCTAAATATTATACAAACTTTAACTTCCTTGGTCCTAGTGGAATTGGGGATGATTAAACAAACATCTTTTTAAATACAGAGTAAGCTTTACCCAAGACTGATTCAGGACGTCCAGCTTGTGATGAAAGAGCTGGAAAATGTGACTGTTCTCTGGGAGGAACTATGGCTCAGCACGCTACAAGATCTTCATGCAGGTAGCCTTAACTTATTGATTTAGAAGACTTCATTCAACGTTTTTTGTGTTCCTGTGATGCATCTATATATACATGTACACATTTATGTATTTCTAAGTGGGAGGTTGATTTTTTATCTTATTTCATCTGTGCAACAATAAACACAACCATGGATTTAATTGCGTAATACGCCAACTCAAAACAACATGAACTGCAACATGGTTATCTGGATGGAAATTGTGTACAAATACACTTTATTGATGTGTCTTACATGGAAACATATACTGAACTAGGCTTGTCATTGTGCGATGTCATTTTCTTGCATTGCAAGTGGGAATTTATACATTTTTATGGCACTGTGCATTATTCTGGTTCTATTTCATTATACTGGAATTCTTACTAACATTTGTGATCATGGGTTGGTATGCATAGGTAGTTTAAAAATTTATTTTTCTTTGAACATACAAGGCTATCAATATACATAAATGTAAATCTCAGTGTTGCAGTTTATATGGGGCCATTATTTTGATTATATTGTGTGCCACCTTATCTTTGCTGACTATCTCAACTTATGTTGTCCTTCTGCTGTTCGCCTTGTTGTTTTACCCTTCAGTGTTGCAGCTATCAATTTTTTTGGGGTCATGGACAGATCATAATTATTTTTGTTACACATTTTCCAGATGTGATGAGACGTATAAACTTGCTGAAAGAGGATGCTGCACGTATTGCAGAGAATGTTACTCTTAGTCACAGTGAGAAGAACAAAATAAATGCTGCAAAATACTCAGCCATGATGGCTCCCATTGTTGTAGCCTTAGAGCGTGTTTAGCTTCTACTTCTCGGAAACCTGAGGCGCCTCATGAGATATGGTTCAATGAGGAGTATACGGAACAACTTAAATCAGCCATCTTAAACTTCAAGACTCCTCCGGCATCGGCTGCGGCACTAGGGGATGTTTGGCGACCATTTGATAACATTGCTGCATCATTGGCGTCTTATCAGAGGAAGTCATCTATATCTCTAGGAGAAGTTGCACCAAATTTGACTCGGCTATCATCTTCTGATGTTCCAATGCCTGGTCTTGAGAAGCAAATCACAATATCTGAATCTGATGGTGGCCTTACTACTCCCCAGGGAATTGTCACAATTGCTTCTTTCATTGAACAAGTAACTATCTTATCAACCAAGACTAAACCCAAAAAACTTGTTATACTGGGCTCAGATGGTCAGAAATACACGTATCTTTTGAAAGGGCGAGAAGATTTGCGTCTTGATGCTAGAATCATGCAGTTATTGCAAGCTATAAATGGCTTTTTGCAATCATCGCGTGCAACTTCTAGCCAGTCTCTTTCCATTCGTTACTATTCTGTAACCCCTATAAGCGGTCGAGCTGGTCTTATCCGGTGGGTGGATAATGTTATAAATATATATAGTATCTTCAAATCATGGCAGAATCGTGCTCAGCTAGCACAACTGCAGGCGCTGGGTGCTGGTAGTACAAAAAATTCAGTTCCCCCACCTGTTCCCCGGCCAATTGATATGTTCTATGGTAAAATTATTCCAGCCCTAAAAGAGAAAGGCATAAGAAGAGTAATATCACGAAGAGACTGGCCTCATGAAGTCAAGCGGAAAGTTCTTTTGGATCTTATGAAGGAGGCTCCTAAACAACTTCTTCATCAAGAACTTTGGTGTGCTAGTGAAGGATTCAAAGCCTTTAGCTTAAAATTGAGGAGGTGTGTTATTGTAAAATTGAAAAAGCTCATCTTCTTCGCTATTGAGCTCCATATCGATAAGTATTTTTTCTATATATATTTCATATATTTAGACTCCTCTTTGATCCAATTTTCATATCTTCACTAATGTGTCCGTGTGGTGCCGTTTGTGCTTTGCACTCATATTTCTCTTGTTTGATGATGTAGCACTTTTTGAGTTTCTTACCTATAAATATTTGGAAGCCGTTGTGGTCGTAATTGGTAAGAAATGTTTTGCCGCTTGGCCAATATTGCCATGATAAATCAATAACCACAATGTGCATGTTAACATGTGTAGGAAATTTGAAGTGAACTATATTTAACCAATTAGAAATTAATCATAAAATAGTAAGTATGGCTTATACATTGGTAGTTAATTCTATATTGTAAAATGTAATAAACATAACTATGAATAATTTGACATTTTTTTAGATTTATCTCTCCCCCCCCCCCCCAAAAAAAATAAAAAAAAATAAAAATAATTTGTCAAACCAAAAAGAGAAGTATTTAAGAATAAATTTTTTAAAGAAATAATGTGGAGTTTGGAAGGTGTACCAATAACATGTGAAATACAATGGCAGAATGGATTAAAAAGAATGTCAAAAGAAATCTTTGGAGAGTCGAAGGAAAAAGGCTTTATATCTAAAGATACTTTGTGTTGGAATAATAAGATACAAGTTGTAGTAAACAAAAATAAAATGAATGCTTTAAAAAGTGGCAATAGGATACAAATGAGGATAATTTTAAGAGATGTAAGTTGACGGTTGGCAGGGTGGTGGAACGGTTTTAGCGATGGTTGGTGGGGTGGAAGCGTCAATATTTGTCAAAAAAGGGGAAGTTGACATTGATAAAGAGCACTTGCATTCCTACATATTTCATGTCGGCACATATTATACTAGTATCGGTTGCATGTCGTTTGGAGAAGTTATAGCGAGATTTCCTTTGGCGTGGGCTGGGTGATAAATTTAAATTCCGTTTGGTGGCTTGGAATAGGGTGTGTAGTCCAAAAGAGGGGGTTGGTTTGGGGTTCAAAAAGTTGGTGGTCTTCAATAGGGCATTATTAGGGAAGTGGTTATGGCGGTTTGTGGGGGGGAAACAAAGTTACTTTGGCGTCGGATTGTGGTTATGAAGTATGGGTCTAGGTGGGGAGGTTGGTGCTTAATATTCTCACAAGGGTCACTCATGGAAGAGGTTTCTGAAAAATTCTTTGGTTAGGGATTAAGGAATTTTGGAGGTCCGTTAGCTTCCTGGTGGGTAGGGGTGAGCAAGTGCGGTTTTGGAATGATAGATGGTGTGGCGATCAAATTTTGGTCGTTTCTTGTTGATGTTTCAGCTTGCGATAGATAAGTATGCCATCGTAGCTTCTTATTTGTATTTATAAGATGAGTGGGTGGTGTGGGATGTTAGTTTTTGGGGGGAGATTTTTGATTGGAAGATTGATCAATTGGTGGACTTTTTAGCTTTGTTGTATGGTGTTAGGGAGGTGGGGATGGGGGAGGATGGGCTGATGTGGTGCTGTAAGGGTGCTAAAGGGGTTTTCTCGGTGTCATCCTTTTATCATGCTCAGGTGGGTTTCGTGGATAGGTCTTTTTCGTGGTAGAGTTTGTGGATTGTTGGTGTGCCATCCATAGTGGTGTTTTTTGTGTGGATGGATAATTTGATTCGATGTCGCCAGATTTTGGTCAATTGGTGTTGTATGTGTTGTCAGGTTGCGGAATCCACTTTGCATCTTTTACTTCACTGACTTGTGGCATCTTAATTTTGGGGTTAGATTTTTTTAGTGTTTGGTTTGGATTGGGTGCAGCAGGGGAGTGTTCGGGAAGTGCTTTGTAGTTGGAGGGGGGATTGGGTGGGGAAGAGGCGGCGGAAGGCTTGGGATCTTGTGCCTTTGTGTTTAATGTGGTTGGTTTGGTTGAAGCGTAATCGTTGGACTTTTTAAGGGTTAACGGTTTCGTTGCTTCATTTGAAGAATATGTTTTTGGTGGTATGGTATAGTTGGGTGTTGGGGCGAGTGGCGCTGGACTTATTTTCTTTTGTGGAGTTTATTGATTCTTTATATGTATAGTTCTAGGTTTGGTGGTGTTTAATTTGTTAGCATCATCTTGATGCTCTTTTCTTATAAAATTTACTCCTTATTTATCAAAAAATTTAAAAAAATTAAGAGATATAAGTTGGCTAATAACGAGGTTAAAAGGACAATTAGATGCTAAATTAAAAGCCTATGATAATATTTATAAGTAATTTGGTAGTATTTGATATTAATACTTCATTAGTTGAGCAATGTAAGTGGAAACTTTTTGGTTTTTTGGACTATATCATAATTTTTGAAGCTTTTCTACTTCGTTGAATTGACTTATTTTGCTTGCATGTAGGTATTGTGGTAGCGTAGCAGCAATGAGCATGGTTGGTCACATTCTGGGCCTAGGGGACAGGCATTTGGATAATATTCTAATAGATTTTTCTAGCGGGGATATTTTGCATATTGATTATAATGTGTGCTTTGATAAAGGGCAAAGGCTAAAGATTCCTGAAATTGTGCCCTTCCGCCTGACCCAGACAATTGAAGCAGCTTTGGGATTGACTGGGATTGAAGGTGCCTTTAGAGCAAACTGTGAAGCAGTTCTTGGTATTCTGAGGAAGAACAAAGACATAGTATTGATGTTGTTAGAGGTTTTTGTTTGGGATCCACTTGTGGAATGGACACGTGGAGATTTCCATGATGATGCAGCAATCATTGGTGAAGAAAGAAAGGGCATGGAGCTGGCAGTTAGCTTGAGTCTATTTGCATCTCGTGTTCAAGAAATTCGTGTTCCATTGCAGGTACTCTTGTATTGTGAATTCTTAGCTTTTATGTGCTTCAGTTTTAAAGATGATAAACAGGCCGATAAAATGATGAATGCCCTCCAACCTGCGGCCACCCTCTCAACCTCAAATAAAAAGGGAAAAAAAAAAGAAAGAAAAAAAAAAAAAGAAAAAGAAAAAGCAAAAGACACAAGAAATAGAAAAAGAAATGAAGGGAATTTTTTCCCTTTTGTCAATGAACTTATGCGACTACGTGCCATGTATAGTTCCCACATGCTTGCTGTTACTTCTGACATGTGTAATTGTTTTGTGATTGATTGCATTACAGCTTTTAACTTTTCATGCAACATCTTAAATGTTTCAGCCCTTTCATTTATTTGACACTTTATCAAAGCTTTTTTCCCCCCTCCTATAATTGGAGCTGATTAATTGGTATTATTTTTCTGTCTTTTTACCTGGATGTTATCTGTATATATGAATGGTACTTATGCTATTGAATATGATCAGGAACATCATGATCTTTTACTCGGTACCTTGCCAGCTGTTGAATCCGCATTTGAGGTATGGAGAAATAATGCTTACATTTTTGGTTGGCTGCTTTTAAGTTTGTTATTAATTGGGTCTGGCTTTAACACTGAGAATCTGTGTACCAGAGGTTCACGAGCATCCTAAATCAACATGAGCTTGTTTCTGCTCTATTTTATCGTGCTGATCAAGAGAGGTCCAACCTTGTACTACGTGAGACTTCTGCAAAATCAAATGTTGCTGAAGCAACTTGTAATTCAGAAAAAGCCCGTGCCTCATTTGAAGTACAGGCAAGGGAATTCACTCAGGCGAAGGCTGTGGTAGTTGAGAAGGCCCAAGAGGCAACAACTTGGATGGAAAAACATGGAAGGATTCTTGATGCTTTACGAAGCAGTTCAATTTCAGAAATCAAAGCCTACTTACAGCTGACGGGTACAGAGGAAGCTTTGTCTCTCACATCTGCTATTCTCGTGGCTGGTGTTCCATTGACTATTGTTCCTGAGCCCACACAAGCTCAATGCCGTGATATAGATACAGAAGTTTCTCAGCTCATAGCTGAACTGGATCATGGACTTTCTTCTGCAGTAACAGCAGTCCAAGAATATTCTTTGGCTTTGCAACGAATCCTACCACTAAATTACGTTACAACCAGCCCAATGCATAGTTGGGCACAAGTTCTGGAACTTTCAGTAAATAGCATTTCTTCTGATATTCTATCACTTTCCAGAAGACAGGCTACTGAGCTGATTGCAAAGGTACAGGGAGATGGATTTGATTCTGGTAGTAGTTATGATGATCTATGTCTAAAAGTGGAGAAGTATGCAGAAGAGATACAGAAAGTTGAAAAAGAGTGTGCTGAACTGGTGAACTCAATTGGTTCGGAGACTGAATTGAGAGCTAAGGATCGGCTTCTATCTACTTTCATGAAGTACATGCAGTCTGCTGGTTTAGCAAGGAAAGAAGATACCATATCTGCAATTCATGCAGGACCTTTGAAGCTTGATGGAACAAAAGATGCCAGATTTCAAGGGGAGCTGGAAGACAAGAAGGAGAAGGTTCTAACTGTCTTAAACATAGCCACAAGCTCTTTATATAGTGAGGTTAAGCGTAGAGTGCTCAACATATTGAACCATTCTACTGGTGACCTTGAAGAGCAAATAGAAAAATGTGCACTTGTAGCTGGATTTGTTAGTGAACTACAGCAATTTATTTGTGGAGATTTACCTCATATCGGCACAGATGATGATCGTTCAAATCATTTTTTTCAAAGGAATTGGGCTTCCATTTTCAAAACCAGTTTACTCTCCTGTAAGAACTTGGTTGGGCAAATGATTGAAGTTGTTCTACCTGATGTGATAAGATCGGTAGTATCATTCAATTCAGAAGTCATGGATGCATTTGGTTCTCTCTCACAGATCAGAGGATCCATTGATACAGCACTGGAGCAGCTGGTTGAGGTTGAATTAGAGAGGGCATCTTTAGTAGAACTGGAACAGAACTACTTTGTAAAGGTTGGTCTTATTACTGAGCAGCAGTTGGCTCTTGAAGAAGCTTCTGTGAAGGGTAGGGATCATCTTTCTTGGGAAGAGGCTGAAGAGCTTGCCTCTCAAGAAGAAGCTTGCAGAGCTCAGCTGGACAAACTCCATCAAGCATGGAACCAGAAGGACATCCGAACTTCTTCTCTGATGAAGAGAGAAGCTAGTATTAGAAATGCTCTATTTTCTTCTGAAAGCCATTTTCAATCTATAATTAGTTCTGAAAAGGACAGTGAGCCACACATTGCAAGGAGCAAAGCTCTTTTGGCAGCACTAGTCCAGCCCTTCTCTGAGCTGGAATCAATTGATAAAGCATTGGCTTCACTTGGCGGACTTGGCACTTCTTGCTCTAGTGGAACTTCTCGTCTTGCAGATTTGATGAGTACCGGTTGCTCGTTATCTGAATACATCTGGAAGTTTCCGAACTTAATGAACAACCATACTTTCTTTATTTGGAAGGTAGGTGTTGTGGATTCTTTTCTTGATTCATGCATACATGATACTGCTTCATGTGTAGATCAAAATTTAGGATTTGACCAGCTTTTCCATGTCGTGAAGAAAAAGCTTGAAATCCAATTTCATGAACATATAGGCCAATACCTGAAAGAGCGAGTTGGTCCTATTCTGTTGGCTGGATTAGACAAAGAAAATGAACTTTTGAAGCAACCGATGGAAACAACAAAGGAACTTGCTTTTGATCAAGTCAAGAAAGATTTTGGGGCTGTAAGAAGAGTACAACTTATGCTTGAGGAATACTGTAACGCAAATGAAACTGTCAGAGCAGCAAGGTCTGCAGCTTCTCTCATGAAAAGGCAAGTGACTGAACTTAAAGAGGCTCTTCGCAAGACCAGCCTAGAGATTGTTCAGATGCAATGGATTCATGACATTAGCCTGAACCCCTTGCATAATGTTAGGCTCATATCTCATAAATACCTTGCAAGTGAGGACAAATTATTTCCAGTTATTCTAAACCTTAGTAGACCTAAATTGTTGGAAAGTATACAATCTTCTGTCTCAAAAATAGCTAGGTCATTGGAGTGCCTACAAGCCTGTGAAAGAACTTCTGTTGCAGCAGAAGGGCAGCTTGAGAGAGCCATGGGTTGGGCCTGTGGTGGTCCAAACTCCGGTGTGATGGGAAGTACCTCAGCAAGGAATTCAGGAATACCTCCTGAATTCCATAACCATCTGATGAGACGACAACAATTGTTGTGGGACGCTCGAGAAAAGGCATCAGATATCATCAAAATTTGCATGTCAATATTGGAATTTGAAGCATCAAGAGATGGCATTTTTCGGACTTCCGGAGATATTTATCCCTTTAGGACTGGTGCTGATGGCAGGACATGGCAGCAAGCTTACTTGAATGCATTAACAAGATTGGATGTCACTTATCATTCTTTCACACGTTAGTTTCAGTCTTTCTCAGTAAAATGATCTCTGTAGTGGACAAGGTCATGGTCAATTAAATTAGTTACCCTTTCATATGGGTGATGAATGTATGGTTTTGTGCTTTGTGTATCAGGTGCCGAGCAAGAGTGGAACCTTGCACAGAGCAACATGGAAGCTGCTTCCAATGGCTTATTTTCCACAACTAATGAACTCTGCATTGCTTCTGTAAAAGCAAAGTCAGCATCAGGTCATGCCTTTTCTTAAATGACACTTACATATATCTGTATGCCCGCATGAATCCATATTTATGCTTCAGGCATAGCCATATAGCTATATATTAGTGACATACTGTTTGACCCTCCGCATGCCAATTGCATGTGGGAGGGCTTGATATTTGTATAACAAATCAACATTGGTATATTGGTTTGCACCCTACTCAAATCATTATTTGCATTTGATCCTTTGAAGTGGTCATTATTGTTAGAAATATCTAACTTAAACTGCAAACTACTTATGTAAAATGATTTAAAATTGTGGTTAATGGATTAAGTTCGAATTAAAATGAGCATAAGAGACTAATGGGTATTAGGTTAAGCCTATACTCAACTAATTGACATTGTCGGCTACTATATGAAATACGTTTTGTTTAACTTTTAAATTGCCCACAAATTCATTTGTAAATTTCTATATGGTTGGAATACTTGGCTTTGGATTAGTGTTAAGCAAATAATTTCAGTTGAAGATTCAGATATTCTCCAACCAATATTAACTTAACTTCAGTTCAGTAGTGGTGGTAGTGTAGGTTTATATCACTGTTCCATAGACACTTCAATAAAAAACAAAGGAATGCAAGAACTTTTGAAGAGATTTGTGTGTGGTTTGTAATTTTTATTTCGATTTTCCTTTTTTCTTCATTCTAGGACTTCTTGCCCTCTAACCTTTTGTTTTTTTTTTCTTTTAGTAGATTTGTGTTGCCAATCGGAAAAATACACTCAATACTTGCATTGATTGACACGAATTGCTGATTTTGTCTTGCATAGGTGATTTACAAAGCACTCTTGTTGCAATGAAAGATTGTGCCTATGAAGCCAGCGTGGCACTATCTGCTTTTGGTCGTGTTATGAGGGGCCACACTGCTTTGACTTCTGAATGTGGTTCCATGCTTGAAGAGGTATAATCTTTATAAATTTGACACAGTAATTTCATTTATCTTGCAATGGTACTTTCAAGTTTCACTATGGGTGATGGTTACGTATTGTGATGTGGGAGAATATCCTTTCAATTGTCATGTTTGTGATATTTGGACTTTGGATTGCATAAGTGAGATTTTTTATTTTTAACTCATGTGCATTTGGATGTCCGTGGGAGTTGAGTGGTCCTATCTCATTTCTGAGGTGAAGGAAACCATCTACCTTCTCATGAAGTAAGGAAATTTGAAACACTCTCCACTTTGATGATCCCATAACATTAAATTTAGTGAAGTTCCCCATCGTCCTTAATGGCCTCATTCTAAATATTGACTTCCAGCTGCTGGATGAAAGCTATGGAAAAACAAATGGGACCATTAAAATGCCAAGGGATTTGCGAATGCAATTTGAAGTTTCTAAATGAATTTTTTCTTCTTTTTATTTTTTATTTTTTTACTTTTTCCCCGCCATATCTTGTTGAGTGCCAGAATCATTTTATTGATCGAGTTTCTAACACTTGTGGATGTGGTCTTCTAGTGATTACTTGTAGTTTTTTCAAGCTATTATTGAAAACTTGGAGTCGGATGTATTTTGTGCCAACAAGGTGGGTGAATAGGCCAAACCTTTCCAAACTTATTACCAACTTAAATTTGTCGACCGTTAAATTAAAAATTTTCAATTCAAATATGATCGAGTTATATCAAAGGCATCCACATGATAATTATATATAAAAAAGAACGCCAGTGATTTACGTGCCTATAGAAAAAATCATGGACACACAAGAACGATGTTATGCGAAAGCTTTTAGAAATCCCAACAAGAATTCCATAGGGATTACCCCTTACGGTAAGTTTGCATAATGTATCTTATGAATTTTTTAAAGCTTCACACAAGTTTAAAAAATCTAACACTTATATTAAATGGAAAGATTACAAAAGTATTTATACACTACTAGATATCTCCTAATTCTAATGGGATTGACTCGATGAAAGGTAACTGGTCCTCTATAGCAAACTATTTTTAGACCTAATAATAACTACATACTCATTAACACAAATTGACTCATAAGACGTCCCATGCTCCCATTCTATATTCCATGTCCAGCAATTTTGAAGTCTTGAAGTTATCTAAGTAGCCTTGACTACTAAAACCTAATAAAAAACATGGTTATTGAAGGCTCAAGGCTCACTAAGGTGCCAAGTTATGAAGCACGGGTATTGGTACAAATACTGATACTGGTACAATACAGGTACGTTGATACTGTAAAATCCAAAAAAAGTAGGGTACGGGTACAGCTTGGTACGTTTGTAAAAAAATATTTATTTTTAATTTGGAATAATGCAAAAATTGATAAATGATTTAATTTGTTAAGATCCAAAATGTCAAAAGTAAAGGTGAAAATTAAAATTAAATGTCAATATAATAAATAACTTACAAACCATAACTTAATTTTAAAATCACGCTAAGCATGGAACCAAAAATAAAAAAGAAATCTTAGTGAAAGAAATTTTGGGTATGTTTGGTTTGTGTTTGAGAGATATGTTTTAGAGATAAAAAGTACGAAAAGTTGTTTGGTTTGGTTTTTTTCAAAAGATGTTTTGGAAAATTATTTTGAGAGAGAGTTTTGAAAAAAGTGATTGATTTGATGTGTGTGAGAGAGAGATTTGTTTGGAAAACTTGTTTGGTTTACAAGTTTTGAGAAATTTTTTTAGAAAAATTTGTTTGGTTTGATTACTTTTAAAAATTTATTTGTAGAGAAAATTTCTCAAAAATTTTTCACAAACACAAACCAAACGAACCCTTTATCTCTATAGTAGAAGGATATATTGTTTAGACTAAGTTATGGTCTGGCACGGCTTGAGTATATGCTAGGTACATCCAGGTACGTCAAAAATTAAGAAGAAAAAATTTGAAATGGTACATATACAGAAGTACTATACGAAGTACCATAAGCCGGTAAGTACCCCGTACGGGTACGGCATGTTTTTCGAAGTACCTATGCTTCATAGGTGCCAAGGTAGGTGCCAAGGTCTCGTAGAGCTTGAGTGCAAGGTGCAACATAAAACGCAAGCTTGAGTGAAGTAAGCTGCATGTGAGATAGTCATGTATATTAAACACAATCACTTGGAAGCAATTTAAAATATGTAACACGGATAAGAAAAGGTGAATTTTTGATATTTTAACTAAGAGGGTTAGCTAAATTGACAGACTGTAAGATACACAATTAGAGACATTATGCATCACCACTTAATTAGCTGTCTTCTGTTTTCTCTTTCTCTTCCTGATCTTACAATGCATCATTCAAATTGTAACTTGAATAATTTGTGTTAGAATTTATCTTCACCTACACCACTACCACCTCACCTACTCCACTAAACCTAACCCACTACACCACTACCACCTCCACTTCACCTACACCACTACCACCTCCACTTCACCTACTACACCTATATCTCCTATATAAGGAGCCTCTCACATTTGTACTAGATACACAATCAATCTACCAATAATACATTATATTTTAACATGGTATCAGAGCTATAGGTTAAGCTCTTGATATTCTTCGCCTTCCGGCGGGCGGCAACTTTGCCTTGACCGCCCGCCGGACCTCAACCAATTTGAGACCTCCAAAAGAAGAATATAGTGTACCTTTACTTACTCTTCCACAGACCCAGCTGATTAGTCACCTTGCTTCAGAATACCCTCTTGCTGTGCAAGCGTCTTTCCAGTCTGATGCTCACCACTACCACCTCACCTACTCCACTAAACCTAACCCACTACACCACTACCACCTCCACTTCACCTACTACACCTATATCTCCTATATAAGGAGCCTCTCACATTTGTACTAGATACACAATCAATCTACCAATAATACATTATATTTAACAATTTGTGACACTTTTTTGTTTTTCATTTGAGGCTAACTTTGCTGTACTTTGCTTTAGGTCCTGGCAATAACTGAAGATCTACATGATGTTCATAGTTTGGGGAAGGAAGCTGCTGCTGTACATAGTTCTCTCATGGAAGATCTTTCTAAGGTTTTTCTTTTCTCTCAATCATGATTTTTAGTTTTTTTTATTACTTGTTGAAAGAGAAATGCAATGTCACTGATTTTTGGTCACCAATTTAAATCACCTCCTACATGGATGGTTATGAATTGTTCCTTTGTTTGGAGATAATTATTAAGGAATTGATAAAAGCAAATAATATCTTGCCATGTAATATGGTGATACAAAACGGTGAAAAAAACTAGTGATATAAACCATTCCTAGTTGCTTATATATGTTGTGACTCGCTCCGATAGTTTTTCTTTAAACAGATGTGAAATTTATTCTGCTTACTGAGTCAAATTTAATTATGTGCTTACTTGTATATTGGTCAGGCAAATACAATCCTACTTCCTCTGGAATCTGTATTATCTAAGGATGTTGCTGCTATGACTGATTCTATGGCAAGAGAAAGAGAGACTAAGATGGAAATATCTCCAATTCATGGACAAGCAATATACCAGTCTTATTACTTGAGAATCAAGGAGGCTTATCAGGCCTTTAAACCCTTGGTACCGTCGCTTTCAATCTCTGTGAAGGGACTCCACTCCATGTTGACCAGGCTGGCGCGAACTGCAAGTCTCCATGCAGGAAATCTTCATAAAGTAATGCCATGCTGTTGGGAATATTCTATTGACTGTCAATGTCTACAATATGTACATATACTCTGGATAAAGAGATTGCTGATCAATTTATTGTTTTCTTACAGGCTCTTGAAGGGCTAGGAGAAAGCGAGGAAGTAAGGTCACAGGACATTAATTTGTCAAGGCCAGAAGTTGCAGGTCATGATAGTGACTACAATAGTAAGGAGGGGGAGGTTTTCTCCAAATCTGATAGAGAAAGTGATGAGGATTCTCTTGGAGTGAGTAGACTGTCTTTACAAGACAAAGGGTGGACATCTCCTCCAGAAAGTATCTGCAGTAGCAGCTCAGAGAACAGTGAAACATCAGCAGAAGAAAGTCTTGCAGCTAGCTTTAATGACCTAGAAGTGGAATTGTCTGGAACTGATTATCAAGAAACTTTGCATCATGTGCAGTCAGAATCTAGGTACAAGGAGGCCAATGATGGTGGTACTGGTTCTGTAGATGAATGTCTGAGACTGGGGGAATCACCATACGATGAATCTGTATCAAGCATTGCTCAGACTTCAAATTCTTTCAACCAGGAAAACCCACAGACGAAACTTGGGCTTAAGGACGAATCTTCACTAAACCAAGACAAGATTGAAGATGAAGATCATGAAACTCCATTTCCTACTATTGATGTTGGAAACCGAGTAACCAGGGGTAAGAATGAAACTTAACTGACTAAAATATCCCTTCTTTTACTTCTATTAATATTGGAAGTACCTTTTTCAATATAGTACCAACTTTTGCAGTTAATGCTTTAGATTCAACCCAGCTTGATGTTTCAGTTCACCTGAAATCATAGTTTAATTGAATGGTCAAAATCTGCCAGTTTTGAAATATAACTAATTTTTTACGATTCAAGGAATTTAATTTGTATTTAAAGAGTTTCATAATTTAACTCAAGAACTAATGCTTGATGGACAAAACCTAATTGTCTTGTCTTACTTTGTATTAAGGCTGAAAGTCTTATGTTTTGTGTAATTCATGACATTTTTCTGTCAGTCGATGTGTTTCTCTACTGGTTCAGTTTGTCAACGGCATTTCGTTTGTTAAAGCATGAGACTTGATTCTCTTGGAGACATTTTGTTGAGGTAGCATGTTTTTGGGACATGCAAGGAAAGTTAGATGTAGTAAATAGGAAAACCTTGTTTCAAATCACAAGCAAGTAAGAAATTGGATTACTAAAGCCAATCAAAAAACCAGAACAATTGTTGACATCATGTGTATCAGTGAATGCATGTGTTCATCGGGTAAGATTACTATGAAAAATTAAATGCTGAGAATTCAATTATTTTTTTATTTTTTTATTTTTTATTAGGAAACTAGGGAAGGAAGGCTAATAATTTGGTAGATGAACATCTGGAGATGCTATAACATTGTAATCCTTCACTGAAACTGAATCAATATATGCTTAGGTTATTCCTGCAGTGGCAGGATTGAGAATACTTGCAAATATTTTGTCTAGTTTGACATTTATGTGCATGCGTGTCCTTGCTCTGGCATGTGTATACTCTACCAAGTGGTTCTGAGTTTTGGTTACTAGTGTCTTACTAGCTTTCTTCTTGCTATTGTTTTTGTCCTATTTGCTGAAAGCAGTTAGCTTCCTAATCCAGCTTGAAAATTATGAGAAATTCCATACATAAATGGCTCTCACCAGTTTTTCTTACCATTAGACACAAATCTATTAATTAATATACGTGGGATCCATACATTTATGTCTAGTCGTAAGAAAATCAGATAAGATACTCGTTTTATGTAACATTTTTCTGAAAATTATATGAATGAAATGTGGAACGATGCTTTAATCTGTATTGTAATTCTTGGTTATCTGTAGGTAAAAATGCTTATGCAATGTCGGTTCTAAAGAGAGTTGAGATGAAACTAGATGGTCAAGATATTGCTGACAACAGGTACACCTACTTCCCTTGACTATCTGTTCTTCGGGTGAAATTGGTGTTAACTGTACTTTCTTTCTGGCCAATTAGTATTGCAGAGCAAGTGGATTATCTACTTAAGCAAGCAACCAGTGTGGATAATCTTTGCAACATGTATGAAGGTTGGACACCTTGGATTTGAGATTCGAAGCCTGTTCATTATGTAACCGGTGCTATTCTCAGATGATATATAGAAAGAGAGAATCTGAGGTGCATCTGAGGTGTATCATTCTCCTCTTTCAACTGTCTGGCCATTGCCCTATTATGCCATATTTCTAGGCTCCAGGATCCTCGGTTGCTTCTAACGAAGGATCAGGCACAGCCACATTTAGCGAGAAATATGTCGTAGGATGTCATGAACCTCTTTAAAAGGTCTACCGTGGTAGATTTTCATCAATGTTCTGATTCTTCGTGCTCTCCTGTCCAAGGATCAGTGGTTTATCTGGTACTGAGCTACTCCAAACCAGCTTCAAAGCATTAACTTGAACAACTGTCTTGTGAAGACAACAACTATGGATTCCTCAAGGCTTCTAGCTGGACTGGTCACAGCTCTTTTACTGATTAACGTGCCTCATGATGGTGGTGTTATTTTCTGTGTATGCTGGGCCAAAGAATTTGTTTTTCCCAAATCCTTTCATATCCCACTGCTAGAATGAATTTCCTTTGCCATGCCAAAGGCACCTTATTCTTTCATATCCCATGTTATTGATGGTGCAAGGAATGCTCTACGCGCAGCCTAATATGCGTTTTTTTTAGGATTATGGTCATTCAAACCTGCCCGGTTGACTATATTGACAATTCTGATCAGAACCATTCTACTTTCTATCGAGGATGTTGATCTCCAAGTCAAGGGACCAATGCTAAAATGTGAATTGGGATGCCAAATATAATATGAATTACTTTTTGTAATAAACTTCATACTCCAGTAGGGCTGGTTTTGTATATGAATTTCATGGATTGTTGTCTGACACCGTATGCTTTTGTGTATATTGTCTTAGATATTAAAGATCTCAGCACATATGAAGTGGGAATTTTTATTTATTTGTTTAATTGTTTTTAAAGTCATGAAATCTGGCTTTGGGAAGATCATTTTTGCCCTCTTCCTTTTTCCCAACCTTCCCTAGTATCCTTTCCTTTTCCCCTGGCAAATCCCCCCAACCACCAACCCCGGACAATCGATGACTAGAAGCAGTTCAAGCGTATTTGAGTCTTATGCCAAAAAGTTCAAGCTAGACCTGTTACAAACTTTTTATATTATAATACTTCATCTATTTTTTATTTTTACTTTTCTAAGAGGCAAAACTAGAAATTAAATTTCTGTAAGTCTTTTTTTAATATGTCATTCTGTGGAAGTACAATTTCAAACTTTAAAATTGATTGTTGCTGATGTAGCAAAACTACATATATAGAATTAATCATAAAACTAATTACAAAATCATGTCTCCAGATGATTTTTAAATTGGGGGATTTGGTCATAGCCCCCTCACTATCTAATTTCTCTTTCAAAATGATAAGAATTATATAAGTACTTTCAAAATCCCCTGATATTTTAAAACTTGTTTCTTTTACTATATTACCCTCATATCTATCAGCTCTCATATTAAGACATTTTCACTATGTATTTCAGAGTAAAATTTTACTCTGTATGAAAGTAAAATTTTACTCTCATACAGAGTAAAATTTTACTCTGAATAAGAGTAAAATTTTACACTCTGAAACTAAAAGTAAAATTTTACTCTGTATAAAAGTAAAATTTTACTCTGAAAAATAAGTAAACTGTAAGACTCTGAAGCTAAAAGTAAAATTTTACTCTGGTTCTGTCAAATGAAAAAAATAGAGCAATAGAACCAGAGTAAAATTTTACTCTGGTTCTATCAAATGAAATTTGATGTTTACTCTTAAAAATCGATGGAATTTTGAGCTTTGAGCTTTGAATCATGCCTATAATTCTTGAATCAATCGATGTTTACTTTGAAAAACATTGAATCATGCCTATAATCCTTGAATCAGGCCTATAATCTGAAAATTTTAGAGAAATCTCAATTTTTCATACCCCGATTCTTCAGATTTTTTAGATTTTACAGATTTTTCAGATTTTTAAAACTTTGAGCTTTCAAAAATCTATATATTCGAATTCAAATCTCAAAACACACAAACACACACATATATATAGATATATATATATATTACAGATCGAAATATATAGATATATATATATATTACAGATCGGAATATGTAGACTGTTTTGATACCAAATGATACAAACCCCGTGGGTAGAACTCACCCTTGAAAATGGGCCTTTAAGAAAAGAATGTCCAAGAGGCTTATATGCACATGGCCAAGCTTATGTTAACTGATGTGAGATCGTAATACAGTGACAATGGGTTGGGAGGATTAATTACTCCTTACCAAGGATTGGGGAGAAAGGAAATTTACTTCACTTCTTAATATCCAATTTCAATTAAAACCGTGACAAAGCTGACACTACACCATAAACGAGCCTTCTCCTTTAGAGTCTTGAACTCACTCACTCGATTGCAAAGAATGCAAGCAAACTTGGACCTCTCTACCTTGCGGTGGGTTGATTTAACTAGAGGAAAAACACTACAAAAAGAGATAGCTCGATTTGTTATTTTTTTTGAGTCTTATGTTTATTTTTTTTCTACTATCTACAACTTGTGCATTGAATAATTGTATGACGCTGTCAAGATTCAACACAAGACTCTGGCCCTCAGCCCCACATGCTACAAAGACAAAAGAACAACACCGCCTCTTAAATAAAGATACATGAGTCCATCTTTAATTAGACTAAAAGCCAAGTGATACCCTGATTTAACTTTATAAATGTTAGGTTTTTATTCTTGGCAACCCCGTTTGACAAAACTCCTTTAAGTTGTATTTGTTTTCGCACTTTTTATTTCAATGAGGCTATGAGTGTTTAGATGCGAATCTAACCCGAATCGTGCCTTCCAGAGAAGTTTTGTGATGTTAATTCTTTCAAGATTGCCACTTCGTTGATTATGACCGGGATCGAGCTACCCGGTCAGCTCGCGGGGGTCCAGGGGGCAGCGCCCCTTGGCATGTCCAGGACAGCGCCATGGCGGGGTCGAGGGGTAGCGCCCCCAAAACAAAATGCAAAAATGCATTCAAAGTTGCCTGTCCGCTCGAACAGACATTCCCCCGCTCGAGCGGAGAATGCTGGGTTTCAAAAGTGTGTTCGCCTACAAAAAATACAGGATGTAGTTGTTTCCTACTCAAGTAGAACTTTCCGCGCTCGAGCGTAGGTCCGCTCGAGCGGCCAATCTGACGCTCGAGCAGAGATCGCGGGACAGATTTCTATAAATACATGTTTCAGTCCAAATCTAGAATTACACCTCCAGATCTTCTTCTTGTATATTAAGGTTTATACCTGGAGATATTTTGCTAGTTTTTCTTTGATGTTTTGATTGAGTATTCAACTCATGGTTTAAAGAGTATACATCAAAGGATTATTTGTTTGTTCTACATAAAAGAGAGAGTTATTCTTCGGTGGATTCTGAAGAATTCGAGCCTGAAACTTTGGTGAATTCTTGAGTGGCTCATCGTCAAGACAATTCCGAGGTGAAGACGGGGTTGGAAGAGGCACATAGGGATTGGCTCAATTCGGGCGTGGATTCGCTTGGTAATTGAGAGTATACCTGTGTAATTCCTTTATATCTTCTTAGTGGATTGTTTTGTGGCTGTTACCCGTGATTTTTTTATCACAATTGAAGGTGCTCCAATTGTGGTTTTTCCACGTTAAAATCGTTGTGATTGATTTGTCCTGATTGATTGATTGAGATTGTTATATACTGCTTAAAATTGATACATAATCACAAATCAATATCTAGGGGATTTCTAGATTTTTCAATTGGGTCGCTCTTTTGTTTTTTAAAACTTTTGAGCGAGATCGTGTTTGATTTGTGATAATGAATTCAATTCGTGAGGGAAATTCTATGGTTCGACCACCCCTACTTGACGGATGCAATTATTCGTTTTGGAAAGCTCGGATGAGATCATTTTTAAAATCTATTGATGAAAAAGTTTGGCAATCTGTCATGTATGGGTGGACTGAACCGACGATTACCGTTGATGGAGTAACTTTCTCCAAACCAATCGATAAGTGGGGCACAATTGATTACCAAAATAGTAGCTAGAATAGTAAAGCTATCAATTCTCTCGTTTGTGCTGTCACACCTGAAGAGTTTAGTCGAATTTGCAATTGTGAAGTCGCAAAAGAGGCTTGGAATATTTTACAAACTATTCATGAGGGCACTCCTTCGGTTAAACGCTCAAAACTTCAAAGGCTCACGTCTAGTTTCGAAAACCTTTCAATGAAAGATAGTGAGACCTTTGATGAATTTTATGCGAAGTTAAGTGACGTTGTAAATTTCAGCTTCAATTTAGGTGAAAAAATACCAAAATCCAAGATTGTAGGAAAAATTTTGAGGTCCTTGCCCGATCGGTTCCAACCAAAAGTTACGGCTATTGAGGAGGCTCAAGATGTTGACAACCTCAAGCTAGACCATTTGGTTGGAAATCTCCAAACTTATGAGGCACATAGGAATTTCAAAAAGAAATAAAAAGATGTTGCTTTTAGTAGTGCTCATAGAGCTGGAGAGAATTCTGATGAGGATTGTGAGATAGATTCCAAGATTACGGATGCTTTTGTAAAACAATTAAAAAAATCTTTTTTGAAAAAGAATCCTAATCTTTTGGACTCTACTCATACTCATAAATCCAAAGGCAAAGATAAACTCAAAATTAATTCTATAGTCAAGAAGGAGAAAGGAAAGATACAAGGGAACTCTGAAAGAGTCCAATGCTATGAATGCCAAGGATTTGGCCACTTTGCTCAAGAATGCCCCACTCGTTTGAGGAAGAAGAAAGCCCTCACTATCACTTAGGATGATGAATCAGAATCTGATGAAGATGAAAGTGACAATGAAAATCAAGGTGAAGAGAGACATAAACAATTCCTTGCTTTCATGGCGGCTTCTGAAACTGAAAGACGAACAGAGTATCCGAAGAGGCCAGTTGAGAATGCCACTGATGATGAATCCTCGGGAAGTGATGATGAAGAGCTTGAGCAAGCTTATGAAAAGTTGTATAAGGAATCTCTTAACTTATCCAAATTGAATGACAAACTCATTATGAAACTCAAAGCATGTGAAAGTGAGAATGTCAAACTAAAGGAGGAGATTTCCGAGACTAGGAATGATGCCCTTAAGATTTCTAATGATCCACAAGCTCTTTGTGCAAAACTCTTGACTTGTGAGACAGAGAGGAATAAGTTGCAACAAATCTATGCAACATATGAAGAAAAAATTGAAACTCTCGAGATGTCTCAAGTTACTTTGGAAGAACTAATGATCAAGAAAGAGGAAGAGCTCAAATGTGCTATGGCAACCATTGGTCTTTGGAATAAAGGATCAAAGACTTTGGACAATATCATTGGTTCTCAACAAATTTGTTCTGACAAGAGTGGCATTGGCTTTAGTGGTAAGAAAGAGCAAAAACAGAGTGCATCCACATCTCATGATACAAGAACTCAAGGGCAGGGGGAGCACAAGGTTCAACGAGAGAAAAGACTTTTCAATCTTCCTAAAGTGGGTAAGGTCAAAGAAAAGAAGGTACGCCCTGTTCACCCTATGTTTATTTGTCATCATTGTGGTATGTATGGTCATATTCGCCCTTATTGTTATAAGTTGCATGGGAGAGTGTCTCATAGAGATGGAAGAAATTCTAACATCTCGTGGGGTAGGAGACACTTCATTGGTAGTAATAAGGTTAAAGGTCATATTAGACCTCGTCATTTTGATCAGCTTGAGACCAAACATGGAGCGAGTTTGCATTTGCCTAGACCTAGGAATAGGAAGTTGGAAACCATGTCAAGACGGGTTCTCATTGAAGGAGAATGGAACCACAACGTCAAGACACCACCAAAAAATCGCAATTCTCACAACTTTGTTCATACTAAAGCGGTTTGGGTGAGAAAACTTGACTTGTGTTAATTTTTTATT